AATGGAAAGACCACTCGTAGTTGGGATAAAATTGCATAAATTCCAGTTATTACAATATTACTAAAACGGAGGAAGTATTCAATAGTTGAATTAGAATGGAAAGAACACCCGTAGTTTAATCATTTGAATTTTTCCTATTGAAAAATATGCAAAAACCAAATTGGACAAAAAAAAAAGGTCATTTGAGTCTTATTTCTCGCTCTTAACAAATTTGTATACTAATTTATCCGCCTTTAAAACTCGCTTGTCATTGCAAATTTCAACTAACTATAATTACTAGATTAGTGCCTGTGCGATGCACGGTAGTAACAATCTTTTCCCATAATTAATTGTGACATAGTACAAAATGAGGCAACCTATGTGGAATAAATAAATGCAATGCATAAAGAAAAATAAAATAATAAGGCAAAAATTATTAAAACTATAATTGAGAAGAAAAAAAAATTATTGTTGATTATAGTTGTGTTGAAAATATTTAAAAGCAGTATACATTATATTACACTAATGGTGTATATTATTTCTCAATAAAAATATACAATCTAGTGACTATGTGACTAAAGACTTATTTATCAATGCTTTTTAATAAACATGAAAATATTAATCAAACAATAGAATAAAATCTACAGTAAAACTATTAACACAACATACATGTAAGTATATAAATTACAAATAATATATCACCTTTATATCCAATAAAATAATATCAATGAAAATAAATACTACTTGGATTATTAAAGGCAATTATAATCCACAATTAGGCAGCACTAACCTATATTATTAATAGTACATTTTCAGTTTATGAATTGATGCTCTACATGATATCGTCGCTCTTTGTTATTATATAAAAATGTGTTTGGTATCCAATAATTCTAGTTTGATCATTATTTTTTTATTAGCTTAAAATTTTATTTGTAGATGATAACTATTTATCGAAAAAAAAGGATACGTGTCTATAATTTAGCAAACGATAATAATTTTTTTGTATTTACTAAGATATTAATGTAACAAAAAAATTGATTGATATTTCACATTTTCCTAGATATAGACCTATGATATAGTTGTTGAACACAACATTTATTTTATAGTCATATCTAATACTCCATTAGTCTAAGAAACAACATATTAGAGGTATTTGGAAAAAAAAAACTTAAAGTGATATTTTAAAGTATTTTCTTTAATATCAGTGTTATAAATCAATTTTATTATTACTTTTTGAGAAAAATTTAATAATACTCCGTCTAAAAGGTGTCTAGGCGGTAATGATAGTATCTTGTACCTAAACCAATGGCTTACTTTTTCTATTATTAAAAAAAAAAGTTCGAATAATATTTTTGGTAAATGTGTATGAAAAAATTAAGAACACAAAATAAAAAGAAATAAATTTTATGTAAGGAAAATATATAAGATTTGGATAATTTTTATTATAGTTGTATTATAAAAATATTCCAAAAATAAAAAATTTTATTATGTAAAGATAAAAAAAAAAGATAAAAAATAAATAAATAAAAAAAAATTGCTAAAAGGGAAGGGGAGTTTTGGAGGAAACTACAGCACCAGGAAGTGACACGTGTCATTTCTGGTGTCTATTTTAGCATTAAGTCTTTGATTACTCAATAAAAATTGTAAAAATTAGATATTTGCAAAGTATCAATCAAGATGAATGAAACAAGACATTTGTTCACAATATGATATTGACCATGCTTTAAAAGCAGCAAAAGCTAGGGGTGAAAGTTCGGTGTTCGGTTTGGATTAAGGCCCAAACCGAAACCAACCCGAAATAATTCGGTTTCAAAATTTTCAATTCGAATCCAAATCGAACCGAATTTCTAATAAGCAAACCGAAACTGATCCATAAACCAAATTTTTCACCTCATAAGCAAACTAAATAATTAAAAGAGAAAATAACACAAATTAAATTGACAAATAACTTTAAAACTATATTATATTATTTATCAACTATGATTGTATTACAAGGCTTAAATTTGCCCACTAATATTAACATTAAAAGACATACAAATTAATAAAAAAAAATAAAAAAAAATATTTAGATGTTATGCTCATCAACAACTTCAGATTCATCATCAACATTACCTAAAAATGAGTGGTGAGAGACGAGTTGTGTTGTAAGGCCAAAGAAACAAGCAGTGAGAGCAGTGGTAAGGCCGAAGAAACAAGCTGTGGGAGCGGTGGTGAGGCGAAACGAGCGGTGGTAACTGCTTGACTGGTGGCCGTGGGGGAGGATCGGTGGTAAGGTCGTGAGGGAGGACCGATGGCTGTGTGAGAATTCTAAGAAAGGGGGAAAACCTAAGAAACTAAGGGAAAGAGTGAGGAAGGCTGAAAGGGAAAAGAGGGTAAAGAATTAGGGTTTTGATTTATATTGATAAGCTGTGTTTTGTGCATAATTGTTAGCCTCTTTTTAGTTGTTCTTATTAGTCTAGCTTAGTATTTTAGTTCATTTTGGTTTGATTTGGTTTAGTTTCGATGGTTCGATGCTTTTATGGGTAGTTTCGTTGTTTTTGATGTATTTCAGGAGTAACGAAGCTAATTTAGAGATTTTATGAAGTCATGAGACTAAACCGAGGCCCACGGACCTTCACAAAGCTCGTTGGTCGAAGAACGAGTCACTTAGGCCTTTTTGGAGTCAAGCACGGCCATGTTTAAGAGAGGCACGCCCATGCTCAGCTTAGGCACGTCGGTGCCTGAGCCTCAGAAACTGAGGGAAATTAGGCACGTCGTTGTAGTATAGTGGTAAGTATTCCCGCCTGTCACGCGGGTGACCCGGGTTCGATCCCCGGCAACGGCGCCAAAATTTTATAGGCGTGTCGCGTACCTAACAAAAATAACCTAACGAGACCACTACTATGTAGACGGGCAAGTAAGGATCGAATCCCAAGAGACTAAGGTTCACCTAATTAAATAGACTCAATTAATCACTAAGCAAGTAACAATCAATGGTGAAATATTCTAAGAACTAATATATAAAGAACTCAATAAATCTAAAGAATGTGATAAATCAATGAACTAAAACATCCAAGATCAAGTATCACCACAATTACGATCGATGCAATTATCTATCTACCCCTAGCATACAAATCCAATTAACATGGGGAAAAGCAAACCCTAATCAATACCAAGGACCTCTCTCGAGTATCAATGGCTTCTCTAACCACAATCAAGCCTATTCTCATGGAATCATGCAAATTAGAGACATTAAACACTTTACTTCGCTTCCCAATTATCAATTCAACTACTCTCGTGATGAATCTCAAACCCTAAATTGATCTACTCAAATCCGTTAAATCCCAACTCTCGTTGTGATTAAAACTATGGAATAATAACAATACTAATTATCTCTAATCTAGTATTGGCATAATCACAATCAATTTAGCATAAATAATCGCAATTGTCATTAGAGAATTTAAAGAATAAATTCATGCATCAATCACAATTGGGCTACCCTAGATCTTGGAATATAAAAAACTACTCACACATATTGAAATAAGCAATAGTAAAAATAATCAAAGAAAACATAAAGAAGAAAATAAGGGATGAAAGGAAAATAGCAAATCTTGAAATAAATTGAGATTGCAAAAGTGGAACTTGAATCTTGAATTACAAAAGCAACGTAAAAGTTTTAGAGAAAAACTAGGTCTAAAAAGGAATGCTAGCTCCCGAAATATAATAAAGTCTGGGGTATTTATACTCCCAACAAAAAGATAAGAAAATGTAAGAAAATTCAGCGCATAACCCTCCTAAGAGGCACGGACGTGCCTCACTTCGAGTAAGGTTCTTCTAATCTTCTGGACTCCAGGCACGGACGTGCCTCATATGCAGATTCGAAGGTAGCAGCAGAGACACGGACGTGCCTCTATGAGACACGGACGTATCTCACTTCCAAAGAATTTCCCTCAGTTTCTGAGGCTCAGGCACGGACGTGCCTAAGCTGGGCATGGGTGTGCCTCTCTTAAACATGGTCGTGCTTGACTCCAAAAAGGCCTAAGTGACTCGTTCTTCGACCAACGAGCTTCGTGAAGGTCCGTGGGCCTCGGTTTAGTCTCATGACTTCATAAAATCTCTAAATTAGCTTCGTTAATCCTGAAATACATCAAAAACAACGAAACTACCCATAAAAGCATCGAATCATCGAAACTAAACCAAATCAAACCAAAATGAACTAAAATACTAAGCTAGACTAATAAGAACAACTAAAAAGAAGCTAACAATTATGCACAAAACACGGCTTATCAAACTCCCCTAAGCTAAACTAATGCTTGTCCTCAAGCATTCGACCATGAATCACAAAGGAAGAGCAAGACAATTTCTCAAATTATCATAATGTGCTATCATTTGAAATCGATAGGAAAGCAAAAATTAGAATCAATGTGCATAAAACCACCATAAACCTCTCATACTTGGAATCGACAAACATTTTACCACACATCTCCCCAAACCAACTCACACAAACATGAATAGCTCTCACTTTAGTTGTGAAAAATAAAAGCAATAAACGCTCATGTATTTACGGGGTGAAATATGAGATCACTCAACCTAGGCATAAAATGCATGTCAACTTCACTTTACTTCGCTTCCCAATTATCAATTCAACTACTCTCGTGATGAATCTCAAACCCTAAATTGATCTACTCAAATCCATTAAAAACACAACTCTCGTTGTGATTAAAACTATGGAATAATAACAATACTAGATTAGAGATAATATATATGAAGGGAATATGGGCTGGGATATTGGGCTTTATATAAATTCGGTTTGGAAATTCAGTTTTCGGTTTTTTGGAAGCCCAAAACCAAAATTGATCCGCAATCCATATTTTTTAAAATTCCAAACCGATTCAAATCGAATTTCCAAAAAACCTAAACAAAATTGTTAATTCGGTTTGGATCGGTTCGTCTTTCGATTTTAATCCATATCACTTTCACCCCTAGCAAAAGCTAAAACAAATTAACTAGTTGAACATATTGCACATTTACACAAACAAATCTTTCATTAAAATGTGTAGCATCTAACAATAAATTAAATTATAAATTAACAACAGTTCCCTGTATGATTTGTACTAAAGAAGTATAAGTACCATATATTGCGATCAATACACTCAATACAACAGTAGCTACCACTAATAACCCCTCACCTCTCATGTAATTGCCTGAAATTTTTATATAGCACAAGCATGGAAGTGTGATTGATGCAGTAATGCTTAGAAATGCTCCTACAAGAGACATGAGATACCCGAAAAACGGAACAACCAATGCTACAATGACTTGAGTAGCAACCAAACTTGTTCTTAACACAAGTTTGAAATGCTTTTTCTTGTGATGATTTGGGAACCAGCTCTCAGTAGAATTCACAACAGGTTCTAACATCAGCGCGTACTTGGATAGAGGATTAACCAACGTCGTATAGATTGCAATTTTAGAGAACATTTTATCTGTTGGGAGGTTCAGAGTTATTTGTGATTCAACTTCCGAACCATACATCAGGTATCCAATGATTGCCATTGATGCATAACCAATAGTCGAACAGAGAAAACAGAGAAGTAGTACCTGCCATAAGAAAACACAAACTTAAGAATTCAGAGATTTGCACATTCTTATGTCGCATTACTTGCTTGTATATGATTATTGCTAAATTTCAATCAAGTAGGCCTAATTAAGAATTTTTTTTTAACTATATAGAAATAATCGACGACTACCAGCTCTAACAACAATCCTAACGATGTAAATAATAATAGACAATAGATAAAGTGTTAACTAAAAAAGTTTACCTTAGAAAACTGATGTTTTTTCTGCATTGAGTTGTACAAGGTAGGAAAAACAGGATGCGCGCAATAGCAGAAGCCATACAAGCTAACTGATGTAGGAATGCCTGACCAGTTTAGTAGATCACCCTTGCTGTGAAATCCAATCTCATCAAACGTTCCAACACATAAAATCGACACAATAATCACAACAGAAGCGAGGACACCAGTAGCAGAGATGTACGAAAGAATACTAAGATTATCCAACCAAACCGAGGGAAGAATGATAAGGGCAATAAGCAGCACAAAACTCTCTCTTCCTCCAAGTTGCAGCCAAGAAGTTTCTAATTTCAGACCAGGAAAAAGGTTATGTAGATTGTCGCCTTCTAAGATTAGGAAACCTGTAACGACTAAGTATAACTCTGTGCACATAAATACTGATGTTATTGTTCTTCCGATCTTCCCAAATGCACGCTCCCCTATATCAGGGTATGTTCTTATGCTTGAATCAGCTTCCATGCATCGCTTTATAAGCAAACCCGTGTAGAATGCTGCTGTCACGACAATGAAGATCAATATCAGACTTAACCAACCACCTGATGCTAGGGCATATGGTACTGATAGAATTCCAACCCCTGATACATTCATAAAATAAGATGAAAAAAAAGTTAAAAATGTTTTTCCCCTAGCCTTCCACTTCATCTATTGATCTATTTCTCTGAATTCTCCTCAAACTTCCATAGAAATGAAGCGGACAATTTGCTGTTTGTAATTTATGTCCTATTTTAAGCAAAACATCTATGGAGGGAAGATTTTCAACATAATTAGGACAATTAATGACGGGACATTTCCAAATTCTTTTTGTTTTGTAATGGTGAAAAAATAAATCATGCAATTCATTTGTTAGTGGAATTGTTGATTGGGTTTTTTTCCTTAATTATTTGGGAGGGAAAAGTACGTGTCACACTGATCAATTACTCAATGTGTAATGGGTATCTATTGATTCATAGAATCACAGCAAAGAGTTGATAATTTATCCTTCATCCTGTGTTTATTGAGTATGAATAATGACTGTCAATAATTTTGTTCTGTAGTACTGTATATGAAAGTGATGATTATTGTTTCAATTTTCTTACGAGTATTTATTTTTATTTCTTTTGGTCAAATAAATAAACGGTTGAGATTACTTATATAAAATTTAAGGGTTTAGATTTAAAATAGTTGTAATGGCTACAAATATAGTGTAACCATTGAATAGTTTATACTGTATTTTTTATTTTATTTTTTTGTAAATAAATTAAAAAATAAAAAAAAGATAAATAAATAATAATAAAAAAAAATAAAAAATAAAAAAACTATCCTAGGAGTATAGGAGGAGAGGGATTTTTTTTCTAAAATTAAGATCTTAGCCAACTAGGTGCTAATGGTCCTTGCATGCCCGGGCAGGAGGCTTTCATTGCTTTGTGAAACCAGCCTCACACGGTCCCCTCCGCTATAGCTCCCATGAAGATTGGGGCCTTCGCCCAACCCACAAATGGTCCAACTCCTAACTTAGTGTTTAATTATAGTATCATACTAGGTTACCCGTGCATCGCAAGGTTTTTACGAAAATTCTGCTCATCTATTTGCAATGTACTTGTAAATTATTTTAAACTTATTTTAAATCAATTTTTTTTTATATAATGTATAGATAGTAGCATTTGCAATAAGTACTTGTGGTGCCATAGGAGAAGTCGTGAAAATAGAAGGGGAATAGGCCTTTAGGATTAAGGAATCTGATACCATGCATATAGAGAATGGAGAGAATATATTGAGGGAAGTTACGAGTATTTATAGTGATTACAAGCAGCATATTATAGTGATTACAAAAGTATATGATACTGGCAACTATAATAATTCTAGGAGGAAGTCACGAAAGAATATATACAAAGCTATAGTCTAGGAGCTAACTATGGAATAGTAATAAAACAATTAATTGTTATAAATAAGGATTGACCAGGAATCAGCCGATCGTTATCAAGTGGTTGTAATTATAGACTTGCATAAAATAAAAAATAAAATAAAGAAAAAAAAAATCCAAAACTACTTAATGTACTCATTAAGTGCTCAAAGTAAAATATAATGACATCAAATTTATTTCAGCGGGAAAATTTTTCTTGTAAAGTTGACGCTTGCACAAAATTGACGTTAGCGGTTGCTATTTTAGTGTTATTTACTAGATAATACTCGAGTCATGCTCAGTTTTTAAGGGTAATTGAAATTAAATATAGAAGACTCATGAAAAATGTAATTTAAAAGTCCATCATAAAAATAAATACTCCCTCCGTTTTTTTTAATTGATGATTACTTGGTGATGCGCGGAGTTTTAGGAGAGTAATACTTCGTATAATATTGTGAGTGGGTGAATAATTTATTATAGTGAAAGTAAAATGGGGACAATGAAAGAGAAAGTATGTGAGAGAGAATAAATATTTTTATTATTTAAGTTAGGACCATAGAAGAGAGAGAAATAATAAAATAATTTGAGTGAGGTTTAAAGTAAGAGAGAGAAATAATAAAATATAGTATAACGTTACCAAATATAGAAGTAAAGCATTTAAAAAAAACAACCATAATAGGAAAAGATGCATTTAAAAAAACGGAGGGAGTAATTAAAGTATAAAGTTTCTACACACAATAATAATAATTCTGCAAAAATCTAAACGAAAAAAATAGGGTTTAGGTTTGGAAAATTCCCTCCAAAAAAAAAAAAAAAAAAAAAAAAAAAAAAAAAAAAAAAAAAACTCTAATATAGTTAAGGTATATAGATAGATGGGCTTAACATTTGAGCGGGAAAATTTTTTATAAGATAGCGCCACGTGTACTGCTTTGGAAAAAGATGACATCAGAGGTTGTTACTTTAATATTAGTTATAGATAGATAGATGATAACCTCAATATACGAGCTTTATGAAACTATTTGTTCTCTCCATATTTTATATACTTCGTGTGAAAATGTAGAATATGTTTCATTTTAGTGTATATATCATGTTAATGGTATAATAAATTATCAAATTACGTAGCAAAATTTTTACCATTCACTATAAAAAAAATTTAGTATTAAGTATTTTACTGGACCCGAAAGATTTAGATATTATCGTCCGAAAACTAGCAATTCACAATCAAAACAAAAAACGATTATGCAATGCAGTTTGTCTCTTGTACTAGGCTATAATGTGCGTTGAAGAGTACTGTATACAAACTGTTTTAGGAGACAAATTTTCATTTAATTCATTTGAGTATATTTCAAGATTAACTTCTTGAAATTCTACATTTCCAAAGTATCAAACATAGGCATTATGAAATATGAATTCATACTGCATACCCGCGTGTTTATATTCTAACAAGAGGATGTGCTTAAAAAAAATAAAATAAAAAATAAAAAATAAAAAGTAGTCTGTAAAAACCTAACAAGAAGTGAAAGTGAAATAACCTGAAAGGGCGTTAAGGCCATTGAATAAAGCTTTGAAGAAAGAGGAGTCGCCTTCGTTGGTTGAATGCTTGTGGTTTACTTCCCATTCATTCTCATTCTCATTCTCCAAAAGAGGGTGGCTAAGGCTAACCATAACTCCCTCCATTGCTATATTATTGAACCAATAAAATTACGAGGAGATGGAGAAGAATGACTTCTACAATTTCAGGTATTTGTACTACATAAAATTTATTAAAATTTTAATATTTTTTAGACATAGTTTATTACAATTCAACTTTATATTGGGTGAAATTGAAGTGGAACTTGAACAAACTACCAATAGAAGTACAAGTATAAAAGAAAGAAACTTTAATTGTTTGTTAGTGCTTTTGACAAAAGGAAAAATATAGTAGAAATTTATGGTAATGTCAATATATCATACATATATAAGTTTAACTGTAATGGGTAAGAATATATCATAGTATCATATTATATATGGTATTCCCTCCCACACTAAAATATATTTTCTCTGTTTCTTTAATTGACACACTAAAATAAACTATTTCTTTTGATGTAATATAAATTTAACGTCTGATTTTCTTTATATTTTAATTTAATTTTGACACAATAAAATTTAATAATTGATATGTATTGATACATTATTGTACATAAATATGTCCTACATAACCAGCCAATAAAAGTTTTGCATGTGTCGGGTGTACAATAAATTTAATGTACATCTGGTTATTGTATACCAAAAGTTACCTATATTATCATAAAAGTTACTTTTATAAATTACTCATATTATCATGAGTTCGAGCCCCGCCAACTACATTCTCCTCTACGTACTCTCAAGCGTTGACCTGTGGAGCTGAACAGGCTTAACCTGTGAGGGGTGCCGGTTCAGTAGGGTCCTTTATCTTACCTTTAAAAAAAATTAAAAATTGATTCTAATAATCCCACCTTTAGATTATTATTTAATAATCCCACCTTTAGATTATTATTTCATAATCCCACCTTTATAGGAGATTTTCATCTATTGGTCCTTTATGACCAGTAACCTGTAAATTGGGTAAATTTTTTTTATTTAATTTAAGTGACACGTGGCACTAGATAATTGGTCAAAAATAAAATAAAATAAAATAAAAACTAAAAAAAAATTTGGTCGAAAAAAAAAAACCTAATTTTTTTTATCCACAATGACCACCTAACCCCCCAACCTCCGGCAACCCCTCCTCGCCTCCTCCCCATCCCCACCACTGGAACCCCATCCCCACCGCCGAAACTCCAATTTCTACCGCCGGAACACCCATTTTCACCCCCTCCCAGCAGCAACCGACCCAACTCCCCCTAAAACCACCCCGATTTTCAATAAAGAAAAAAAAAAGTAAAAAGAAAAAAAAAACCCTTCAAGAGCGGTTGGAGGGGGTTTTCGGTGGAGTTTCGAGGGTGTATGGGGGTTTTCGGTGGAGTTTCGAGGGTTTATGGCGGTTTTCGTTTCGGTGGAGTTTCGGGGGTTTATGGCGATTTTCGATGGAGTATTAGGGGTTTGTGGCGGTTTTCGGCGGAGTTTCGGAGGTATTTAGTTGTGGTGGTTTCGAGTGTGGGTTTCGGTCAGGGGTTAATTTCGGTTGTGGATTTGATCGGTGGGGTGGTTTTTGAATCTGACCGGCCGTTTTCGGGGGTTTATGGTGGAGGCCGTTCGGTTTTCAATGGGGCAGGGTAAGGGTTATGATTTCACGGTGGGTGGTGAAAGGAATGGTGTCCTTCGAACAAGTGTATTATTCTGATAGAGAGTTCAGAATTATTACAGAGCTAATTCTTCAGTAAGGTTAAGTGATCGGAATGCCTAGGTGGAGGCCGCTTCCGATCGGTAATATTAAGGTATAATTAATATTACAGCTTAATCTTAACTGAACCCTTCGGGTCGAACCCAATCGAACAACCGATCCGAGACGACGAATTAATCCGAAGGATTTAATGAGACGTCGGAGTTTTACGAACAAAGACGTCGGATATCGAGCCTAGGGCGTCGAGGCCGAGCGTCGCAAAATCACAAGCAACAAGTTCGAGCGTAGCCGTAGCATCACAGTGGCCTAGCCATGTTAACGGTAGGCTAACTCGAGCTAGCATGCACCTAGCATGGCTAGGCGCACTAGGCTACCCATCGCAGCACCATGTGCGTGTGTGCGTGCCTTCGCATTGCACCACAGCATGCGTGCATGGGTGCCTAGGCACTATCGCAGCCCATCGCACCATCGCATCACAAGCACAGCACTATCGCATGGCTAGGCATGTGCGTGTGTGCGTGTGCTTGTGCCTAGCCCTGTCGCACCATCGCTGCACGCAACATAGCACCATCGCAGTGTTGGGCACTTGCGTGTGTGTGCGTGTGCGTGTGCTTGTGCCTAGGGCCATCGCAAGCCATCGCAGCATCACAGCACCGAGCTTCGTATGCTTGTGCGTGTGGCTGGCGAGGCGATGCCCAGCATGCGTGGCTCGCTAGCAGCACGCATGCTGGGAAGTGCGAGGGGCCTTGCGTGTGCGTGTGCAATGGCAAGAGAGGCAAGGGCCAGCAGCTTGCTAGCAGCGCCCAGCGCCTAGCAAGCAGCAGCAGCATAGGCACTGCCCAGCACAGCCACACGCATCATGCTTGTGCTGGCTGGGCTGATGCTAGCTGGCTGGGCTAGCTAGCACTGCTAGCTGGCTGCCAGCCCAGCAGCCCCATGGTTCCGGTTTTGTGAGGGGTGGGGACCAAGGCTTGGGCAAAGCCTTGGGGAGCAAGGCAATGGTCCCCCCCCCCCCCACCTTCTCTTGGTCCTCACCTAACTCTCTCTCCCCCCCTTACACTTGTTGCATTGTGATTGATTTGATTATTAATTTAATTTGGAATTAAATTAATTATCAAAATTATTCATTCTCCCACATTAGTTGGGAAATAAAAATCAAGGGTTCATTTCCCTATAAATACCAAGGCATGGGTATTTGGGAAATAACACACTTGGTTGAAAAGTAAAGGAAACTCCATTGTTGAGCATACCTTGAAATTCGTAAAACTCTAGTTTGTTTTGTCCGGGTCTTGACTAACCTTCGAGGCTTAGGACGCTCGGGTCGGGTTCTAGGGTACGATCCCGTCTGAGGCTTCGTGTTTTCAAGGTTCAAGTAAGAGCTCATAGTTGAGCGAAGCACGCGTCAAAGGTATAATCTTTTATCCTTTCTTATGCTTTAAATTATGTTTTGCTTGTTAATTGCATTTATTATGGGGGCAGGTCTTGGCGGGTTTCTTTCCGCGTAGTGTGGGTCACTACGAAACCCTACAGGTGGAGGGGTGGCTGATGGGATTTTGTTGGGTTTTTTTTTCAGTTTTTAATTTTTTAAATTTTTTAAATTTTTTTTTCAACCAATTACAAAACGAGATGTGGCATTTTAACCTATCAAAACCGGTTATCAACAAGTTAGGGACCAATAGAAGAAGTTCTCCTATAAAGGTGTGATTATAAAATAATAATCCAAAGGTGGGATTATTAACAGCGAACCGGCTAAAGGTGGGATTATTAGAATCAATTTTTCCAAAAAAAAAAATACCCAGTCACTTTTATTTTCACAAAAATTACGCTTAAACTATCAAAATTTATTCATATTATCCAATTACTTTAATCACAAAATTACCCGTAAATTATCCAAAATTACCCATATTTCTTTCCATTTTTCTTCGGGTCATACAGTAAATTACTATACTATATACATTTGGTTCTTCAAAACATTTGTATAAAGTCAAAATATGGCACTTAATTTGGGACCGGGATGGCTCAATTTTTTTATGGATATCAAGGCAATATTAATCACGTGATCAATTTGATTGGTGAATTTTATCCACTTTTGTTTTATTGATTGATTGGTTATAGGATCTTTTGCTAGGAACAAAGTTGCTGTGCACCGTAAGAATGGTACAAAGATTTTGGACATATATAGTGCAAATGTGCAATTGGCTAAGCAGACTTTTACGGCTCTTGAAGTTCTCGAAAAATCAATTATTGGAGACTAAAGATATCGTTCTATATTATGAACTATTTTTTGTTGGTTAAAAATCGGAAGATTTGTTATCTACTCTCGTCTAAAGCATACATTTCTTCTCTGTAACTCTCTAAACCAAAACAAATACCGAAATACGTCAATATTTATGGTGCAATTAGTTTACAATATTATATAAATAATTTTGGTTATGGTAATATACTAGGTGTGTGATTTAATTAGGTGTATCTTGGTTGTACAATCCTAATCTTTTCTTATATGCTTCTTTGTTTAGCAATAGCTTTTATGGAAAGTCTTCATACAAGTATATATAAATAAACAAAAAAATTTATGCATATGTATATATATTAATATATAACTTTATGCTTGTCAAATATATATATATATATATATATATATATATATATATATATATATATATAACTTTATGGCTCTGTTTGCAACTGGTCATCATATCATAAGGTCATTTGTAAAAAACAAAGTAACCCCTATAAAACTAATCAAGTAACGCAAGTAATACTAACTAAGTAACCCCTATAATACTAATTGAGTAACCCCTATAACACTAACCGAGTAACCCCTCTAACAACACTGATGAAGTAACCCCTATAACACTAACGAAATAACCCCCATGATGACTGCTTGGTTGGCCTCACAAAGTTGGTTTTTACCTAAATTTCACTAAACTTAAATTAATCTTGTAGAACTAAAATTATTTTTGTTGAATTAAATTAATTTTGCTGATCTTAGATTATTTTTTTAAAAAAATTAAATTATTATTATTAGGAAAAATTCATGGGAATAATCCCACCTTTGGGCCGTTTGTTTTTAATAATCCCACCTTTGGATTATTTTTTAATAATCCGACCTTTACCCCCTATTCTTTTTTAATGGTCCCAACCGGTCATGTAACCTGTTATAACATGTTACATGACACGTGGCGGCCTACGATTGGTCAAAAAAAATTTAAAAAAATTAAATTTATTCAAAGAAAAAATAATAATAAAAAAAAAAATTACAAACCCACCCACTAGTTCAGCCACCACCCTTTCCAGCCGGAAACCACCATCTCCTTCCCCTACCCGACTGAAAACCGCCGAACAACCACCACAGCTCCATCCCCTTCATATGAAACCACCGCAACCCCACTCTCCCTTCACCTGAAACCACCCCCTTTTCCTCTTTCTTCTTCCCTTCTTTAACCCACCATAACTTCCAGCCAATTAACCCACCAGCCACCCACCTACGTCAAAACACAACAACACAAATCAATGTAATAAAACAATACAACAACATCAAAACAAACCCACATTTCACAAAAAAAACGAATCTGAAAATCAAAATAAATGAAAAATAACCTTAGGATCTCTGACATGAGAATTCTTTCAGATCTGAAAAGCAATGGTGGAGCGAAGCTGAGAGATGGTGGCAACATCGTCGAGATTGTAGATATCCATGACAGTAGGAAGTGCTCGGCAGGCCAATTTGAAGAAGTCAAAAACTCTTTTACGAGCTTCTTCGAGATTCGCTGAGTTTGGGGTATCTTTGCTCTCCAAATCGCCGCCATTTTTGGAGCTTGAAAACAACAATGTCGGAGGAGAGAGAAAGAGAGAGAAGAAGAAGAAATGGCTTGAGGAGGTTGCGAGTTACGGCGATCAAACCCTTGCGAAGACCGTCTGGTGGGCTGGTGGTGGGATGGGGGAGAGGGGAGCTGCGTGAAGGGGAGGAGAGGGAATGGTGGCAGCCTGGCATTGGTGGTGGGGATTATTTTTTTTCTGTTTTTTTTTCATTTTTTTTTTAAAATTATCAAAATTTAAAAATTAAAAAAAATTGTTTTTCTTTTTTTAATTTTGTTTTTTAATTTAAAATTTAGACAAATTGCATAGTGACACGTGTATTTAAAACAAAAAAAAAACAAAATTTGACCGGTTTAACCGGTTTCTAGTCAAATGGGACCATTAAAAAAGAATAGGGGGTAAAGGTCGGATTATTAAAAAATAATCCAAAGGTGGGATTATTAAAAACGAACGGCGCAAAGGTGGGATTATTCCCATGAATTTTTCCTTATTATTATAGATTTACTATTGTATTTATTTGATATATTGATTAAAACTTATTTTTACTGAAATTAACGTATCATTACCAAATCGAAATTATTCTGAATATTACTCCCTCCAATCTTAAAGTCCATCTCATTTTGAATGTGCTCGTTTGCCCATGCATTATTTAAACCATAATCATTGATAGTTGCAAATTAGTAAAAATAAAAAGTATAACAATTGAATATTAATAAACTACATGAGATTAATCAAATAAGATCAACCCAACATGACTATATTATGTTTTATATATTGAAAGTAATTTAGAAGATGCTCGTATCTTATGAGTACTCCAACGATTCTAATTAAATAGAGTCATAGAGCCATTTGAAGCTCGGGACGCAGTGTAGGGGTACTTGCTCTCGTACCCCTGAAGTAGAGTTCACCTTCGACTCTACTTTGAAGAGTCCTTTATCTAGGATCTCTTTCTTAGCCTTGGGGGGAACAGGCGGCATGCTGCGGCCGCCAGCAAGTAGGGGCGGATTCCTGTTCCACCTGTTGAAGCGCTTGTTCAGCTCTGTGTCTGAACTCTCAATGATAAGGAAGGTGCTCCGCCAGTCCTTCCATTTGTTTGCTTTACCTCTCGTCATGAGGTAGCCCCTGTGGCTCGTCAATTGATACCAGCCGGTACCGCCTGCCTTAGGGGTCCGGCTGAGGTAGTTCATGTGGGCGAAATCCTCGAAGTTCGGCTCCACCCCGTGCAGTTCGCACCCGGCCACATAGCCGAGTACGTTGACCCAGGAGTTCGGGGCTAACTGCCATAACCCCAACTCATACCCATCCAAGATCCGCTGAACAGCCGGATGTAGTGGGAAGCGCAGCCCAGCCTTGATGGCCGCCTCGTAGCAGCCAAAGCAGGTGCCATCATAACTGGTACCAGCCGGCCAAACGACTGTATCTTCTGGATCCGGCACGAACACTAAAAAGCCGGGGCCCATTGTGTGATTTGCGATAAAGCTCTCCACTTTCTCTTGCATGGCCGTGATCCGGCCCCGAGGTACCGTGCAGTAGTAGGGGGTATTTTGCTCTCGGTGAGAGGCGGATGGCTCCGCCCAATCGTCCCCCTTCTCAACTGCGTGAGAAAGTCTCGCCTCTTGTAGGCGACTGTTTTTCTCTTCTGTGTCCAGAGAAGCATGGCCAGAAGAGCTAGACTCGGAATCGTCCTCTGACGAGTCCGAAGAGGACGACTTCTCCCCTCTCCCGGAGGGGCCCGCCTCCTCTCCTTTAAAAGGAGCAGGAGAGAATGTAGAATTGTCAACTGCAAAATGGGTAGGGTCACTTTGACTCCTCCCTCAGAACTGCCGGCTTTCAAGCCGCTTTGTTTCACTTCCACATCTGGCGCCTGGTCAGATGTTTCACTAATCGGCACCCTGTGGGAGGAGCCGTCTGAGTTTGAGATCCTGACAGTCTTTTTTGTTCTGGCCATCATGCTCTGCATAGACACAGATACAGTCGGAATTTGTATAAAGGGCAAAGATGGGTCCAGAAAAGGGCAGGCGACACTCCTAGTCCTAGATTCAGCCGTCCCCGGTGACCGGCTGATCACTAACCTAGGTCGTGTGATGTGCTTCCGTGGTGCCATTTCAAAAAAGAATAAAGTAAAGAGAAAATTAAGAGTAAGAGAACCGACGGTTACCTGAACGAGTGACGATTGATGAAGTTCTGAAAATCCTTTGCAGTCGGCTTGTCAGAGCAGGCGGTAGGCAGAAAGGGTCCAAAATGTCAGAGCAAGTTCAGGGGTCCGAATGTTCTCTCACAAAGTTTTCAAGTGTGAAAATGACCGAAGTCAACACTCCTTTATATAGGCGAAGTGAGAAGGCAAAGGGTCACTTCCAGAATTCAAAATTTTGGCGGGAGAATCTCTCGGCCTCTCGCCGAGTGACACCTGTAGCAGGTCGTCGCCTGTTACAGGGTGATACCTGTCACAGGTAACACGTGACCAGTCACGTGCCACCTGTGAGGGGAAAATGATTAGGGGATTTTGCTCCCACCAATCGGAATGCGCCACGTGGACCAATCAGGTCCTGCCAAGTGTCCCCCAGTTGGACATCTCAGGGCTTGCCACGTGGCACACGCTTATTCGTCCACCCTGGACTTATTATGTCATGACACGTGGCATACTCCATGCCTAATGGAGAAGCCGGTCACCTAGGCCTAACTTCCGAGGGAAGCCCAATCAGCCCAAGGTTAACCTAAACCTAGATTGGCACGTTTCCCGAGGTTATAAATACCTCCCTTAATCCTCATTAAGGGAGATTACGCGAACAACGCAGATTACACACATTAACACTCTCACCTAGAGAGACCCAACCACTTTAATTTCCGCATTAATTACTCCTTAATCAAGTACTAACTTGACCGTCGGAGGCGGATCTCCAACCATCCGGAGCATCCGTTTGTTTTGCAGGTACAGGCGTCCGGGTCCAGTCTCGGAATTGTAACTCTCCTGCAGGACATCAGAAAACCCCACAGACGGCGCCAAAATGTTTCGGGGTTTTCTGATCTCGGCACTTGGATCAGATGGAAATCCTCAAGGGAGTCGACTGCTTGTCGGACCGCCTGTAAATACTTGATCATGGCCGGATGGGTTGCTTCGTATTCGCCATTGTACTGACTCACTATCAATTGTGAATCGGAACAGGCGTCTATTTTTCTTGCCCCTGCCGCCTTGCACATGCGGATTCCGGCTAGTAAAGCTTCATATTCTACCTCATTGTTTGAGGCCTGAAAACTGAAGCGTAGAGCATACTCGTACCTGTGTATTTCTGGCGACTGACATATGACGCCTGCTCCACAACCATTTGAAGTAGAGCTTCCATCCACATATACCTTCCAGACTTGGTTTGGAACTTGAGAGTCAGGAGGGCGAGTCATCTCAACAATAAAGTCAGCAAAGGCTTGCCCCTTCACTGCTTTTCTAGGCTCGAAGGTAACTTCGAGGCTCTGTATTTCTATGGCCCATTTGATCATTCGGCCTGACGACTCCATGATGGTCAGTGGCCGCTTGATAGGTTGGTCTGTATACACGACGACTGCATGTGCCAAAAAGTAGGGCTTCAATTTTTTAACAGCCATGAAGAGTGCAAGACCAAATTTCTCCACTAAGGGATACCTCAACTAGGCATTTTTCAGTACGTGACTGACAAAGTAGACCGGGAGCTGACAGCCGTCTCTTTCAGCAAGGAGAACAGCGCTTAACGCATGATCAGAGACGGCCAGGTACATGTAGAGTACTTCTTTGGGCAAAGGGCTGACTAGCCTCGGCAAGGAATGCAAGTGAACTTTCAATTTCTGGAAAGCCGCCTCAGCATCCGGCCCCCATTCAAACCTTGCCTTTTTCTTAATTGCCTGGAAAAAGTATAGGCATTTGTCGCCTGATTGGCTTAGAAATCTTCCCAAGGCCGCCAGACAACCTGTTAACTTCTGAACCTCTCGGATGGTACGAGGCGACTGCATGTCGATGACCGCCTGAACCGTCTCAGGATTCGCCTTTATTCCTCTCTGATTGATAAGGAATCCGAGAAATTTCCCAGACTCAACTCCAAAGAAACATTTCCTGGGATTGAGCATGACATGGTGCCGCCTGAGTGTGGCAAAAGTTTCTCGGAGGTCCGACAGATGAACTTTCTGAAGTTTAGACTTGACAATCATATCATCAATATATGCCTCGACATTTCTCCCAATCTGATCAAAGAACACAGTGTTTATCATTCGCTGGAAAGTGGCCGGGGTATTCTTAAGACCAAACGGCATGACCGTGTAACAGTATAACCCCTGATCAGTGACGAAGGTCGTCTTCTCCTGATCTTTCTTCCATAAAGGAATTTGATGAAAACCAGAGTAGGCGTCCATAAAGCTCATCAAAGCATGGCCGGCTGTTGAGTCGACCAGGTTATCAATTTTAGGCAGAGGGTAACTGTCTTTGGGGCACGCCTTGTTTAAGTCTGTGTAGTCTACACACATTCGCCAGGTGCCATTCGGCTTTTTAACAAGCACCACATTTGCAACCCAGTCTGGGAAGTAACATTGCCGAATGAACCCTGCATCAAGTAATTTTTTAACTTCGGCGCCTGCCGCCTGACTTCTTTCTTCGCCATGGTTCCGCTTCTTCTGCCGTACCGGCTTCTTTTTCGGATCCACGGCCAGTTTATGTACTGCCAGATCAGGACTAATGCCTGGCATTTCATGGACTTCGAATGCAAAGATGTCCTTGTATTCCTTCAATAGTTTGTGCAAGTCGTCACCCAGGTCCCTTAGAGCAGTCGTCCCAACCTTGATTGTTCTGTCAGGACGCGAGTCATCTAAGATCAGGTCCGTATGCTCACCAGCTGGCTGAGGGCGGAATTCATCCGACCGCTCTTCTGTCAATGATTGCTATTTTCTGTCTTTTCTTGCGGCCCCTGTCTGGGATGCCTTTCTCTTCTTGCCGCTTGCTTCTTGAACAGGCGCACTCTCCTTAACATTGTCAAGGTCTATTTTTTTACCTCTCGACGCAGTGGCCATAACAGTGGACTTGACATCTGAGAGATAGCACTCTCGGGCCATCCTCTGATCTCCCCTTAGGGACCCAACTGTTCCATTATCCCTCTCAAACTTGAGCAACGTAAGAGATGGGATTATAACAGCCTTGGAATTATTCAGGGTTGGTCGTCCCAGAATCATGTTGTAGGCCGAGAGTTCTTCTACTACCAGGAACCGGACTACCATGTGTCGTCCTTCCCCTTTTTCGCCCAGGCGAATGGGTAAATCCACTCGTCCCACTGGGTGGACGACTCCTCCTCCAAACCCTACTAAAGGGTGGGATGCCGGATGTATGAAATCAGTCTGATATTTTAGTTTCGACAGACATTTGCTACTGATGAGATCTGAGGAACTTCCGGTATCTATGAGGATTCGGCCAACTCTCTGGTTGGCCACTTTACATTCAATAACGATAGGGTCGTCATGCGGCCCTCTTACCCCTCCTAGATCTTCTTCAGTGATGACAATCTCAGGAAATGAATATTTGGAGGGCCGTTCTTGGTGAACGGAATTTACATCTAACCATCTGATATTGTCTTTGTTGCCCCTAATAGTGGGGCCGCCTCCAGAGAAGCCGCCTGCAATGGTGTAGATGACTGCATCATCTGTATCGGAGCTGTCGGCCTGTTGATTCTTTTTGGCCGACTGCTTTTTCGAGGAAGTGTTCCCCGTAGATTTCTTGACATAAGTGTCAAGATCACCTTGCTCAGCCAGGCGGTCCAGATACCGCATGAGACTGATGCATTCATTGGTGTGATGACCAACATCTTCATGATAATCACAGAATTTTTCTTGGTTCCGGTTGTTTGCAGAACCCTTCATGGGGACCAGCTTCTCAATTGAGATC